TGATATGCATTGAGTTAGACTTGGGTAAAAAGAACTTGACTCATAGTAACATCATAGCAATCCTTCATGGATTGATGGGATAGGAGGACCATTTTTGGTCAAGAATTTATTGTCAAGATTCATCCTAAAGGGTGACTCATAGAATTAAAGTCCTTAATCTACCTTCTGGGAAAATAAATATACAAAACAATGAGGGCTATAAATTTAAATATCATATGCCCAAATCTCATGTCAAAAAGTTTCTATAGCAGAAACTAACATTGTAAACATGTCATAGTCTTTAATTGTTATCACATGCAAGCTAAAGTTTAGCAACGACAGGTGCAACCTAACCATATTGAGAATTCATACTATTGCCTCACTTATAAGTTGTGTGATGAATTTCAATAGCTATGGCCTATAACAAATCATAAATTGCCAACAAGAGAAATAACAAAATCTCTTATGTGAACATAATCAAGAGATTATATGCTAAATGTTGTCAATTAAAGAGAAGCATGCAATAGCATGTGATATAATTGTCCCTTATGTCTTGGACACCAAACTCTAAATTTAGTCATGCACATCATATTTGGTACACACAAGGCATGACATGACAAGAGATATTCTTATTAATTCATAAATTAGAAAAATGAGAGAAGTACCGTTCACCGAAGAATAATGAGCACATGTTTGCTGCCGGGCCCATTCATTCCTATTTTGGGGAGTCAAAAACAGTACTTTTCCAAGCAAGCTCTCATTTTATCTCATAGTTTCATATAGGTATGAAAACATCACAAAATAGCAAGATATACAAGCTGAAATCGGCAGAAAATTTCAGAATTTTGAACGGTAACACATTTTGACACAAAATTTTGCAGATATGTAGTTCAGCAAGTCTAGAACGTACAAGAAAATTTTCATGCCAATCCAAGGTCTAGAAGTATTTTTTCTAAAAATTTTTCCAACATTGCTCCAGGCAGAAAAATAATTGACAGCACAGTGCCAAAACTTTAATTTTTCTGGAATCACCAAAGCATATTTTTAACAAAATCTTTTTACAAACATCAAATACCACGAGTCTAGGTTCTCTAGAAAAAATTCCATACCAAAAGGAGTTCAAGAAGTATTTTTCACGAATTTAATTTTCAAACTGCCCGGTCAGAATTTTTAGGCAATGATTACAGTGTAAAAAAATTCACAATTTGTTTGCCTCAGGCAAACCAGCATTTCATAGAGTGTTGACTCTCTTCAGTGTTTTTGACACCACCATTTGTCCATCTATGGGGACTCTTAGTGGGAATTACATTCTAATGTATTAAGTATCCTTTCCAACATGAATTTTTCCAGCTTTAGATGTCAAATTAGGCGAGAGGCTATTAGCATACTTAGCTATGACTTCAGGCATAGCATCCTCTACTACCTTAATCTCCAAATAAGAGACTAGATCCAACTGTTTTCTTGTTTGACAATCTAAATCACTTCCAGATTCAGACTCAATCTTTCTGATTCTTCATCTCCAATAGAATATTTAGATGTACTTGAATGTGTATGCAAATTCATTTCCAAGGTTTTTCACTAATACTAATTCTATCTTAATAATATGCAAGTGTATCAATTTCCAGTATAGAAAACACTGATTTTTGTTCCAGAAAAGTGACTGAATTTAGGTTCAACCTCTTGTTGAGACATGTCAGTAATGGCACACAAAGCCTTCTCAAGACAACCATTTTGAGAAAGATTATCAATGATCACATTCCAAGGAACTGCATCTGGTTAGGAATTTCATCAGACGTTTTGCTTGCCTCATTTGACATACACATACACATACAAATATACATTGCATTGATTGTATTCTAAGGATCAAGACATATATATATATATATATATATATATATATATATATATATAATGAATTCTAGGTGCATGCAGTATGCAGATATACTCATAAGTGGCAAGCAATCAGCAAGAAACTCAATGATCTAGTCTGCTAAACATTTAAAGATAATACTGCCTAATCAGGGCTATCCTAATTGCAATAATTTTGGGGCAGCAGAATATATATGCATATAATAAGTTTCCTTAAATCTAGTAAATAAGCATATAAAGAATGTACTTATCTCATGCATGCTCAATTATTAATTTGTTGGTGCCCAGAATCTGCTAGGAAAATAATCTGATGCCCAGACGAACCAAAGATTACCAAAAAAAACCGGATATATTAATTCAGGCACTGCCGGAATTAATTTGGAGTTGTTGGAATCAAGAATGGTTGCCGCCCAGAAATCTTCACTGCCAACCAAGGATTATCCAGAAGTTTCCTTCATCTTGATCCCTTAATTTTTGGTTTACAGATCAGAGTTATTACGTCGCCCTCTGCGAACTCTCGCGATCTTCCGAAGTCCCGTCGAAGACATCTTTGTGATGATTTCGACGTCCGATCGAGGCACGGACGTACGGCACGGCTACGTTCACCCCATCATCGCGGTCAACTACTGATGGTCAGATCGTCGATCGGCCAGCAGCGAGTTCTCTGGCCGTTTGTAAGCAGCCGGCGAATTTCCGGCGTGTAGAGGCGGCGGACGAAGAGGCTCGACTTGGGTGCAGTCGCCGTTGCAAATTGCTTGTCCCGTTGGAGAAAATCTCGGGCACCATTAGTCTGAAATCATCATCTCCAACCAACAAATTCGTTCTGGGATGTAGAAACACAGAGACTACTACGGATCATCTGGTTCCGTTCACTATGATGACGGAGGTAGAGCAAAGTACTGATAACGTGTTAAGAAATCATAGAAAAAGCAGCGATCAACAAGAAGAGGAATACAAAAAATGGAGAGGGAAAGACAGATCATCTTATTCCTTATCTTCGTCATAGTACAATGATCTATGTATACAAGATACAATAAAGAGATATAATAATAGAGAATAATTACATCCGTTACAGACGTTACAAAGCTATCATTAATGTCCATCATAAATCTATTTACAACAGTTAGCCATCTTTAAATGATGACATGATAAAATTTTAAAAGGACTAAATGTAGCTCGCAAATTAAAGTCAATGATGTAATGTGACAAAATTAAAAGAATATAACTATATGTGACAATACCACTATACTCAATGGCTAAAAGTGGAGTTTGTTATAAAAACGAAGTGTTAAAATGATGCACCCTTAAGTGGAGAACTTATGCACTTAAATGTATAACTAACGCACCTTAAGTGTTAAAAGGACTTACCTTAAGCTATGAAAAGACGCACCTTAAGGTTTAGAATGACACACCTTAAGTTTAAACAAAATACGGACTTTAAGTTCTCAACTGAAGAACTGACGCACCTTAAGTATAGAAACCACGCAACTTAAGAAGGAAAACGACGTACCTTAAACACAAAAACTACGCACCTTAAGTTTGACCAATACTCAAAAAGACCAAATTACCACCGCGTTTTCTTTAATCTGTGTTCATCCTGGAAGTTGATTTTGGCAAGATCAATGGCTCTCATCTCACCACATGTTTCACATCGACACAACTTCCGCATCTGATCTCTTTTTATATATATACATATATATATATATATATATATATATATATATATATATATATATATATATATATATATATATAATTAGGTTCTGGTGCGGTTAGGTTGCTCAGGTGCAGTTGTGCGGTTTAATCTGGGCCATTCATCTCGCTTAAATCAACGTCCAGGATTACCAAAAGTTAAAAAAAAACGCGGTGGCAATTTTGTAATTTTTGTATTTAGGTCAACATTAATGTGAGCGGTTCTGTGATTAATGTCCGTGAGTTTTGTGTATAATATGCGTGAGTTAATATTTAAAATGCATGAGTTTTGTGCTTAATGTGCGTGAGATTGTGATTAATGTGTGTTGTCTAAATGACCAAAAGCATCTACCAAAACCAAAAGCGTCTACCAAAACCAAAAGCGTCTACTAAAACCAAAAGCGTCTATTAAAAGCGCGTCTTCTTGTCCAACAATGTGCGTGGATTTTGTAATTAATGTGCGTGAGTTTGTACTTAATGTGCGTGGGTTTTGTACTTAATGTGCGTGAGTTTGTACTTAATGTCAATAGTTGTTGAAACTTAAAGTCTGTGAGTTAATATTTAAAGTGCGTGAGTTTTGTGCTTAATATGCGTGAGGTTGTGCTTAATGTGTGTGGGTTTTGTACTTAATGTGCATGAGGTTGTGCTTAAGATCTAACACTTAAGTTGCATGTTTCTATCACTTAAGGTGCGTCATTGTTTCTATTACTTAAGATGCGCCATTTTTAGCTTATGTGTCTTTCTTCCCGACACGCTTTTTTTTTTTTTTTTTTAATTTTCATAGTCGTTGATCTAAATTTGATCAACAGCTCAAATCTAACCGCACAACCGCACGGGAAGCTATACCTGCACCTAAACCCTTCCCTATATATATATATATATATATATATATATATATATATATATATATATATATATATATATATGATCGTATGAGAACACTTGCTTAGGTGAGAACGTGAGAACAAATCGTGTGCATCCATCTAATATTTTTTAATGGTTTAGATTATATTAAGTGTGTGCGAACGCGAATTAAATGTGTGCAAACGCAATTAAGTGTGTTTGCACACATTTAATTCGCATTCGCACACACCTAATCCGCGTTCACACACACTTAATCCGCGTTCACACACACTTAATATCATCTAGACCGTTACAAAATATTAGATGGATGCACATGATTTATTCTCACGTTCTCATCTAAGCAAGTTTCTTATTGTAACCCTATATATATATATATATATATATATATATATATATATATATATATATATATATATATATATATATATATATATATATATATATATATATTCAAGGAACATTAGGGTTGCAAGCATTTTTGCATTGCAAGATCTGCCTACAAAGGAATACTGTAATTATAATTGACAATCTATGATTAAAGTGAAAATAGCTTAATTCTAGACCAGAACCCGAGTGGAAAGGAACAATGTATCCATTAAAAAAGCATTGCAATTATAAGTGTGCAAATACAAATTTTCCTGTTCCCAAAAGAGGACAAAAACACTGCATCTAACATTCTTACTCCTCATATTTCAAAATCCTTCTTCTCAGCCGCAAAGAACCCTAGTAAAAATAAGCCATTTATTGAGAGTTGATCATATGATTAAGCTTTTGTAGCTCCTTAGTATGATGCCCATGCTGCTTTATGGGCTGGAGTCACCCCAGGTTGGAACAGGTTGACCTCTGAACTTGACTGGAACAAACCAAGCTTCAGCAACAGCCTATTGATTAACTGACCGGCTGCAAATGAAACTCCTGAGACCACGAAACCTAAAACAACGTAAAACGTGATTGTTTTAAGGTAAGACTTGGGTGGTCTCTGGGCATACACCTTTCCAGTTGCCAGAACTATGGTGCATAACAGTGAAGCTGCAGCAGCTGCAATGAGCTTGAGTTCCATGTCATCGCTCTTGCGAAATGAGAAGCCGTACACAGTTGGAGGCACTAACCCGAATACTGCATATGAGAGCACAATAGCGATGGCATGGATCACGAAATTTTCCCTGTGGCCCAGCAGTTTTCCGTATCGATCTCCTGGCTCCATAATTTGGTTTGAGGCCTGCTCAGGGCAATCTTTCTTCAATTCCCAAAGCTGTAAAACGAAAGTCAGAAGCTTAGTTGCGCACTTGGACTGCAACCATTTTCTAATGAAAATGGAGCTAGAGATCAAGGATGATGAATACTTGAATCTATATCGTTTGAGTTAATACCCAATTTAGTCTTGGACTATAGTGGTTTTTTTCGATTTAGTGCTAAATTACTTTTTTGTGCTTAATTAAATGTTGGACTTCGATGGTTTTACCCAAATGAATCCTCGACTGTTAGAAACTTAGAATCAAGGACTAAGTCGAGAAAACCACTATAGTCAATGACTAAATTTGGTAAAATCACTATAGTTGAAGACTAACTTGAGTAAAACTACTACAATCGATGACTAAATTGGATATTAATAGAGGTGAAATTACCAAACTATCTTAACAGATGACTCAATTATAGGTAAAATCATCAAAGTTGAGGACCTAATTAAGCACGAAGTCATTTAGGACTAAATTGAGAAAAACCACTATAGTCGACAACTAAATTGGGTATTAAGTGTAATAGGAAAAGCAGAAACTACTCACATTATTTAGGATTATGAGAAATCCTCCGACTAGATTAGCAGCACTGAGGGCAAAAATATACACTGCATGTAGTGGGGCAAGAAAAAAAATCCATCAACAATCAAAATATATAGTTGGTCTAGAATTGAAGAGAGATGGTTTGCCAAAGCTTATGACTATGGATTATGATTGATTAGTTGTTTATTGTTTACTATTATGGGTTGTGAATACTCCATGATCTCGACTTTCTAAATTACTTACACGTAGCAGTACCAGCAGCAGCAGCAGATGATACAATGCTTAGGCTAGTGATCGACTCAGCTAGACCACCATACACAATACTTTTGATGATCTCGATTTTGTTCCCTTCTCTAGCATTGCTTCCTTGTTGCTCCACTGCACACATTTCAGTCGCAAGATTTGGCAAATTCATCGATTCTGCAGTTTCAGTTGGCCCTGCTTCTACTACAGAAATTATGGTATCTTCGCCTAGGCCATATAGTAAAGAAACCGTGTAATCAAAGAAAATTGAAAGTAACAGCAAAAGAAGTGAAATGCACCAAAATGGGCTATAATGCAATCATTATTGTGTGGACCACAAATAAAACGTACATTATTTGTGTATATAAAGTACATTATTTTGTATACTATCAAATAATGTACATTTAGTACACAAATAAAAATTTTCGCTATAATGCACATGAGCCAAACCACACTAAAAGACTAAATTTAACCAATTAGGTAGTCTAACCCATGACCTTATAAACACATGTTTTCTCTTATATTTTCAATATGGAATTCTTAACACTCCCCTCAAGTGGACAACCGGACCATTTTGAATCTAACTGGTTAACCAAGTGGACCGAACAAGTGGGCTCACGAAATCTTGGACGCACCAATACCACATCGAACAGACTCCAATACCATGTACGAAAGTGAAGAGAATGTTTCTAAGTCATTTAGTAGAAAGAATACACAGCCCTATATATACATGCTAGGAGACCACTCAGAAGGAAACATGACCAATTCTTTCCTTGTGACCCACCTACTCAATTCCTTTAAATCTCCATGCTACCTAATATATATACATTCCATAAAACAAGCAAACTAATATGAAGTCTAGTCAGATACCTTTAGTAACAGTTTGGAACATTGTATCCATATTTTCAACCGGAGGTTCACTGAGAAGAACGGCTCCAATGTGTTGTTGAGGAGAATCTGTTGAAATATCCAATTTAGTTTCACCTTCTGATCCTTTAAGTACAGAAACTGGTGGTGTCAGTGCAATTTCAGCTTCATCATCTGTACATACACCATTTAAATGCACAAAAAGGTTTCCACATGAAACTTAGAACACTAGTTTATAGACATTGTCTTAAGATAGTCATTATTCACATTACCTGGACTGTCACATATTTTATCAGCTTGCTTCTTCTCAAGAGTCATGGACTCCTCATTTGAAGTTATCAAAATCTTCAGCCCAGTTTGGGATGCTGACAAAGTACTCTCTACAAAGCTTTCAGTACCAACTTGAGTTTCGTTAGCAGGAGTCAATGCCTCGTTAATTGCACCATTTACTTCAATTCCATTTGATAAATTTAATTGATGATTGGTATCTACTTCGAAGTGGTTGACTGGATCTCCTGCACAAAAATGTATAGGTAAGAAAGGACAAAATGGCAAGAAGGATGATTGTATAATGCATTAGACATGTTACCGTTCTTGCCCATTATTGCAGAGACTGATATATCTTTTGCGTCATTCATTATTTTTTCAGCTCTTTCTAGCTCGGTGTTTTGAGAAGTTGAGATATTAGCTCCAGTTTCACGAAGGTCAATGCTTCTGCTGTCAACATGAACAGGTGGAATGGTTTCTTGAATGGACGAGGATTGATCACTCTTATCACACAAGTTGGATGATGGTAAAATTACTTCGTTATTGTTTTTCCCAACATCTAACCTATGATCTTCTCCTGCATAGCAACATTGTTCAGTGAAAAACTACCTGCCGAATTAGTAAATTACAATTGAAGGTTCATCCAAAAATGCTCAAGTTAAAATTATGCATGAAGATAGTGTCTTAACTCTTAACTTTGAAATACCTCTCCATATTCAAAACAAGAACAGAAATCAACATAAAATGAATAGGTTACAACAGAGGAGTCACACTGTAGCCACAAACAAGGAAATTTACCTTTATCAGCAGACCCTTTATCCGATGCAAAAATGGAGGAAAACCAGTTTTTGCTCATTCTCACTCCTTGCTCATCTCTCTTATTTTCTTGATCGTCTTTTTTGCCAAAAATCTGGAACAACTTGAAGCCACTCCCTGAAAGTTCATAACGATGGGTGAAGTTTTTGAATTCTGATTTTTTTTGTTTCCCTGACTGCATCCTAATGCGATAATGATTTTTTTTTTTTAATTACAAAATACTCAAGGAGGTATCATTTAAGGGCCATTTGTTAACACTTAGGGTTTTGTGTGTAGAAAACCAAAACAAGTTTTAGTTTAAAATGGCTCCCTGACTGCATCCCCTTGTCAGCCAAGTACTTTGTGCTCAGATGGCATGTAGTGACTCTCTCATATGGGAGGTCATGAGATCAAGCCTCAATGGAGGTGGTGTTGATTGACTTTTTGTGCTTCAACGGATGAGAGGTCATGAGATCGAGCCTCAATGGAGGCGGTGTTGATTGACTCTTTGTGCTTTAACAGGTTGGCGGTGTTGATTGACTAACTCTTTATGCTTCAACAGGTTGAGAAAGTATAGATGAACAGATACTACAATGTAATAGAGTCAGAGTCAGTGGTACTCAAAAAAAAATACCCTTGTCACCAATTGTTGGACTTGGCCCTTTACTGGCCTCCGCCCAACAAAAAATAAAAAGGAACAACTAGAATGTGCTAGATATGGCTCCTTCACATAGACTACAGAAAAAGAGCAGAACTTATCTATTTATCAAAGAACACATGTTCAACAATTAGCTGTCAAACCTCAGTACTTGGCAACCATATATAAAGTCAGGAAATTTCTCTTTTCAGAAAAGGGTATGTTACCTGTTGGAATAAAAAAGCTGAAGCACGATAAACATCTGAATATCTCTGGTTCACGATCACGATCATAACCATTGACAGCTGATATTGGAGTATCATCAAGAGAGATCAGTGGCTCATCATGACATTCATCGCTACTCAGTTGTGTATCAAATTTGGATTCACTTGCAGTCCCCAATTTGTTACGTTTAACTTCTCCACTAGAAATTCGAACATTTCGTTTTCTTTTACGAAGAATAACTCTTCTGGTTACGCAGGAATGACAGTTTGGGCAGTACAGATCATGAGTATTCTGCTTACGTAACACATTCTCAACGTCATAATCCTTCGCATCAATTTCACTATCCGTTATCTGGTCAACATCAGCACTTTCTATCTCTTCAACAGTTGACAACTTGTGAACTGTACCGGGCTCTTGTGGTAAAGTTCCAGTGGGCAAAATATTAAAATTTGGCAGGTTTTCATCTTTCAAATTTCCATGATATTGAAGATCAGTAAGAAGACTCCCCTCGATACAAACATCTCCTGGATTTCTCTTGTTACTTTCTTTTACAGATGATGATGAAGACGTTAATTTACCATCTGTAGTTGCACACAAGTAAAACGCTAATTATCCAAACTGTATGTTCAAATTTAGTTATTAACAAAATATGAAGACAACTCAGAGAAATTACCACATTATTAAAAGAAAAAAAAAAAAAAAAAAAAAAAAAAAAAAAAAAGACAATAAAAAGATAGGACAATAACAGCTAAGAGGAAACCAATTTGTAAAGTTGACTGTATGTGAAATTTATACCAAAATTACTCTTTAATTACCAAGTGCAATACCTCAAGTTAAAAATTAAAACAGTAAATGTTTATATAGTATATGATATCTTAGGGCATTATTGCAGGAAGAGACATATCATAAATATAATAAGACCTAGAATATGAAGGACATAGGCCCTGTTTGGTAAATGGCGGTTAGCTGATAGCTAATTGGGTTAATTAGAGGGTATAACTAGTTGATAATATTAGCTTATTGTAGAAAGGTGTTTGGTAATTAGCTGTTAGCTGATAGCTGTTTAGTATAATTTCTTTTCTCAAAAAGCTAATTGATTGAATTTTAGTATTTTGGAGTTGATTTTTTAACTAAGTCAAATAATTAATAGTGGTCAAATAAGCCAAAATTAGCTGTTAGGCTAATATTTTACCAAACATGGCCAATAAACCCTCCAGTCCAACTAACTTCTATTAGTAAAGTATCTTTTTCCGGCAATCCTCATATTACAGTTCTTGTTCTTTTAGTCTCCCAAAAATCCCTCCTATTTTTCACCTTACTGATTGCTGAGTCTAGGGGTTTTTACAAAGCACAGTATTTACTGACCTTCACTTTCAAAACTGAAATATAATCCACACTGGTCTAAGGTTTTGTAATCCAGCAACTTATGCAATTGCCCCTTAGGCATCTGAGGGAGACCAAAACAAACACTTTCGTTTTGGCAGTTCCAACGGCAGACTCGACACTTCCATATTCCTTCAGTCAAACAGAAAAACCGTGATTGCAAATTGTTTTTACTTCCTAGTAAAATAACCACACTAAAAAACTGAATCCAATGAATTAACTAGTCTAACACATCGCCTTATAAACTCATATGTTTTCTCTTATTTTTTCAATGTGGGACTCTTAACAGAGACAATAGGCAAGAATGCAAGACATAACTGCTTCAACACATGGAATATTTGGATTGATCTATAAGGAAAATGGGTAGGAAGTAGGAACATTTAGCTAAGTTTCTGTATTGACATTACACTGTGCCCTATCTTCAAATTGTAGGTGGATCTAATACCTGTGTTTTTTACAAGTAAACTGACTAGAGCCTAGCTTTCAATGGTCCTTATAATGTGAGATCTAGAAATTTCATTTATAAAACCCAGAAAAGCCATGTTTCTTTCTGGTGTTACTTGAAGCTTGAAGGCGACTCATTAGCTATACACTATACTCGAGATCAAACTGCTACAAGAAAGGGGTTTTACATGGAAGCGATGGCTCTCTAGATCTATACTTCTACATAAGCACTCAGTTTAAGTATACCCATTCTTTTCAAAATCAAATTCGTCGAGTTGCAGGCTTTAAAATGTTAAAAGAATCAGATGGAGTATGGGTCGCCCTGGAGCAGTTAAGCTATAAGAAGATCAAAGATCATAGTGCAGATGAAATACCAACAAAGACTCTAAGAGAGCTGTTTAACAAATCAAATGTTGAGATCAACGGCCAAGGCTCTAAAACTCACCATGAAAGCACAAAATTATGAATCTATTGTTCAAGGACAAATTAAAGAAGACCAAATACATTAACAGGAAGAAAGATAAACATATTCCCTTGATGCAAAATATATTTCTTAGCAGAAAGACAAATCCCTTATAGATGGCAGTCAAAGAACACACTTCAAATGATTGCAGAAATGGGCCCTCAGGTCTCACTGTCTCAGTTTAATAATTTAAAAAAAAAAAAAAAAAAAAAAAAAAAAAAAAAAAAAAAGGTAGGGTTAAGTGACTTAAGTCTCAGGGTATGAAGTGGGGTTCAAGGAGAAGGAAATGTTTGTCTACCCAACAAGAATAGACATCAAAGACCAATAAGAACATAGCAGAAATTCAAGAAAAAGACAGCATATTAGAGTATTGTTTCACACTTTCACCTTCATCTTTGTCAAAGTAAACACAATTCTCCAGTCTTGGCAGACAATCTTTGATTCCAGCTCTATCAGCTGGTGTTGGGTCAACATGCTCCTCTGCCCCTTCTTGGTCACCGTCAAAGGTTGATTCTTGACCTCCATTTTCAGTCACTGAGGGTAAATTTGCATACCCATTTTTCTCAATATGACAATTACTCACTTCTTTGGAAATATTATATTTTGAACCCCTCACTAGCATCCCAACTTCTTCTTCTTCTTCTTCTGCTTCCAACACCAATTCCTCTGGCTCCCTCTTATGCCCTTCTTTTTCCATTTTCTCACCACCTCAAAGCCCCAAGCCCCTCTCTCTCTCTCTCTCTCTCTCTGTATGTGTGTGCTGGTTGGCTGGCCCTGGTTGCAATTTATGGGAAGCAAGTAGAGTAGTTATGGGTATGGGTAGAGGTGTTAAAATATAAGCATTTTCAATTCACACAAGAAGCTAAGATAATCCTGGTTTATTAAACTATTTTACAAAATCGATGAGTCAAAATGGCTATAATACAAGAATTTGCTTTTTTTGTTTTTGTTTTTTCATAGATCAGGTGAGCGTGAGCCATCCTACATGGCTACAAGCCTAAAAGGGTAGTTGGTGGTGGGGTTTCCTAGAAATACTTGACAATTTTGGGGGCTCATGTGTAAACATAACTTTGTATTATGCAAACACCAATTTGATAGAGAATGTGTTTGGGTACGGAGTTGCATTAAATTTTTAGGCCACCTATCTTATTCATTAGATGTGCTTATAATTCAGTGAGAAAATTAATTATTGTCTTTAACGGTAAAAATTTTGGGCTATAACCAAAAGAAAAAAAAAAAGAATGTGTTTGTATGTGGGATGATGACTACTCAATCAGATGGAGCTGAGCATGAGCAGCCTGGCCATGGGTTGCTACGGCGACAACACAGGTCTTGAATAATTATATTTTTAGAATTTATAGATTGGTCTTCATTGTAATTGAAAATAAAATTTTAGAAAGAATTGACATTATAATTTTGGTGAATAATTTTGTATTTAAGTATGCACGATAAATATCACTTTTAAATTAAATATAGTCCAAATAAATTTGAACTCAATTATTTTAATTATAAAGGTCTTCTATATTTCTATTGTTATGTTTCAGAGATCTCTTAAAATTATGTTTCTTACCTCTATAAATACTCCAAATTTGTTTATGAAACGCCTGGGCATGAGTCTGTAATAGGACACATAAAGGTGTGGATTTCCATGGCTGCATGTGCTAGTTCTTGTAATAATGTCTGCTTTCATAAACAGGTATGGCTTCTTTAGCATTCATTTTTTGAGACAAGAAAAACAAAAAACAAAACAAAAAAAAAACAAAACAAAACAAAAAACAAAACAAAACAAAAAACAAAACAAAAACAAAAACAAAAACAAAAAACAAAAAAACAAAAAAAAAAAACAAAAAAACAAAAAACAAAAAAACAAAAAAAAAAAAAAAAAAAAAATATTTTGCCTTCAAATTCCTGTCTTTCTTCATCAATACAAAATGGTACAGCCGTTCAGGAAACAAATTGATAAGGAAGGTGTAGCAGGATTTGTTTGGTAGTGTATTATTGATTAAGTTTGTTTGGTGGTGTATTATTGATTAAGTTTGTTTACTGTACATAACTTTTGTATGTAGCACATTTTTATAATTTTTTTTAGAAAATGGTTAAATAATTTTTTTTGAACTATCTCAAATTTTCAATTGCATACTCGAACAAAACAAAAAAAACAAAAGCAAAAACCTTATATAAATGCATGAACTAAAAAAGTGTAATGTATCTCTTTTTTCTTGTAAGTTACATATTATTATAGATTTATAAATTTCTATCAACATGACATTTACATTTATGTGTAATATTATTTATTTGCATAAAATTCAATATGTCACATGTCATCACTTTGTTTCTTGATATGACAAACTCTTATTAGTCAATACTAAATTGCAATCGTTATACCGTGGACCCTAGTCTTAAATGATGTAGTTTTAAATTTTAATTTTGACGGCGACCGTTTGTTGTTTAATTCACGTTACAATTTTTTTTTCTTTTTTCTTTTACTGTAAAACATGTGTATGTGTCTTGTGTTATGCGTTTTTGTGTCTCATGTTATACAATTTTGCACCTTAAGCGGGTATGGATTCTGTACTTGAAATAAAGTAAATATAACATGCGCTTTTGTATCTTGTGCTATGCGTTTTTGTGTATTGTGTTATGCGCTTTTGTATCTTGTGCTATGCGTTTTTGTGTATTGTGTTATGCGCTTTTGTATCTTGTGCTATGCGTTTATGTGTCTTGTGTTCTGCGTTTTTGTGTCTATGTTATGCAATTTTGTACCTTAAAAATATTGATTATGTATATGAACTAAAGTAAATATAAAACATGTGTATGTGTCTTGTGTCATGCGTTTATCAGTTTATGTGTCTCATGTTATGCAATTTTGTACCTTAAGCGTATAGATTCTGTACCTGAAATAGATTAGTAGTTGTGTAACAGACAACATATTGTGTCTTATTTTACGAATTTATGTCTTGTATTATGAAGTTATGTGCCTATAGGACATATATTATCTACATAAATCAAATTTGAGAATACGTAAATATGTAACATATGTATGTGTCTTGTGTTGTGAGTTTTTGTGTCTCGTGTTATGAAATTATGTACCTTATGAGTATTGATTCTGTACCTAGAATAAATTAAAATTTGTGTTGAAACATGAGAAACGGGAAACTACAGAATTGGTTAAAGCTTAAATATCAAAATGACATCGTTTTGATCTAAGGTCCACAATGCTATGTGAACCCTGGTCCACGATATAAATTGCCACTAAAGTGGGCCACAAAATATTTTTTTCTTTCTTTTATTGATAGTCAAAATATTTGACAATAATTTTATACTCTAAAGTGTTTGATTCAAACCATGTTAGATCACCTTAAGAGGTCGTTTGGTACTTTCCCTTCAATTAAATTCCTAAGAAGCATTCAAATAATTAGGTTTCTCTCTCCAGCAAGTTTAGGGTTTTGCTTCCCCTCATAGGTGTTTCTAGGGTTTTTGCTATTGTCTTTCTCTTTTCTCCGGTGGTCTCGCCGACATTTTCCCACCACGACTCGTGGTATATCTGGTTCTGCTACGTCGCTTTTTGTAACATCCCGTGTTACGGCCTCCATACCCGGATTAAATATGAAATTAATTCCGTTAGCATATAATTAAAAAGGATTTAATTAGACTAGAATTCCCATTAATTAATTAGTATGGTCCACAATGGATTATGGACCCTTATCCCTAACCAAAGTCTTTAATTCTACTAGGAATAGGAAAAATGGGCCTTTACTATTCAGATTCTAGTTAGGAATCTATATATATAGGGGATTAGAGAGCATTTAGAAACCTACCACAATTAATTCTGCCACGCGAGGTATTCCCCGAGGAAGCCTAGCAAAGGAATTCCCCACCAACGAACTTAGAGGAATCCATCGGAGGGAGATCTTAGAGAAGAACCTTAGTAGCCAAGGATATTGATTAGGGCTAAGAGGTAACCCATGTCTTACAAAACCTATTTTCCTTGCTATATCTTATTCATTGGCTCCTTTGATAATTGTATGGATAATTTTGTGATTGAGTCTTGATAGAGCCCTTGCCTAGGATTTATATTGTGTTTATTTGATAATCTTGATGATCTTGATGTTGTGGATTGATTATATGTGTGATCTTGTATTTTAATTATGTCTAGAACTTGTCCCTAGGGTTTATATTGTGAATCTCGTTGTGGTGATGTTCTTGGTATATTTGGGTGGGATCATGCATGATCGGGTGTTGAGTCTAGCCTAGGATTTATCTTTAGGACTTTGCATATAGATTTCTTGATGTTCTTGAGGTTTCAGATGCTCCTGAACCGTTATATGATTGATGTTGAGTCTTGGCATGTTTAGGAATTGTGTTAGAACATATTTGGAATGATTCTTGGTTTAATTCCCATTAATTGAATCCGTGGTATTATTGTCGTGTGTTGGAATGTGTCTGGACATGGTTTTGGGTTCCACGAGAGATCCCGGGACTGAAAAGTTGCCTGTGTATCAGTGGGGGGTAGGTGGGGGGACGAACACCCGCCACCTACCCGCTGCCCGTGCCCCTTTCCAGCGGGCAGCCGGCGGGTGGAGCCCACCCGCTGGAAAAGGAAGGTGGGTCGTGATGTTTTTCCCTGTTTGATGTTTCCCCGTATTCCGTTGTGTCCCGTTGTACCCCGTCTGTCGTATATGAGTCTCGTGTGATGTTTTGAATACCGTTCTAGGAATTTATGTGTAGTACGTGTCATTGTTGTTATGTCTTGATTGCTATTGATTGATTATATGTTGATTGATTGAATGATGATGGTTATCGTGGTCGTTGCACAATGACCAGTGTGACTAATGATGATGATGATGATGATGAGATTATGATTGGTGGAAATGAATTGTTGGCGGATGGCACAACGAGTGCCCGGTCATTGTACTAAAGGTACAGACCTAGCGGTTACTGTGCTGAAGGCACAAACCCACCTTCGACTAGCTAGCCTTTAAGCATGGGTCAGGTTATAAGTGTTGTAGTGCCATGTCGGGGCTATATGCGCTGACCCCTTGGTATTGGTACTAGAGGTACGGATCATGCGAATGGCACTGCGGCGCTATCATGATATGAGGTGGTTGATAGGTGGTTGGTTGGTGGGGGCATGTAGTTGCCCGGAGGGATAAGGGAGGCGGTATAAGGGTGGCCTGGAGGTACATGTTGGAACTGATATAAGGACGGAGGGGAGCCACAAGGTTGGAACTTGGTATAAGGTTGGAAGATGGATTGTGTGCCTTGATGATTTCTTGTTAATTGATTGTCTTTGAATGCCCTTGTTGTCTCTATTTGTTATTTATGAGCTTATCTGCCTATTATGTCTTGTATTGCGTTCTTAGGATTCATGCTAGCCTCTATGATCGTTCTATAGTGTCAAGTATATTGTTATGTCTTGTGTCCTGATCTTGGTTTAAAACTAGAGTTGCCTAGGTTATATATGTATTTCAGTTTCAAAATGATTTTCTTATGTCTACCTATATTGTACTCAACGCGTTGGAGTGGGTTACCAGCATTATTCGCTGACGGTTGTTACACTGAATGTTTTTCAGGAGCAGTTGAGTAGCCTCGGGAGCGCGCTAGTTGGATTCGTGGACTTGGATTAGATAGTTCTAGCTTTGATGAGATGGTCTGCGTGCCTTGATTTGTATTTGGATATTATTTACGCTTTGTTAATTATTTTAGCCTGTGCATCTGAGTTCTCTAGCTCAGGTGTGGCCTAGCACCCCGACTATTATGTTTCGTTTATGCTCTGTTTGAGATTTAATAATAGATTCGCCTTTATTTTATAAGCTTTTAAGGCTTTAAAAATTAGGGGTGTTACACTTTTGGTCTGCATGGAGACAAACGTAAACATTGATGGCGTCGCCGACTTAACTGCAAGGTGGGCGGATTTGGTTTTAGAGGATGAAGAGGCTGAGTTCGCACCGGTAGGAGAGGGAGTTGGTGACGTAGATGGTAATGCGGAGGAGTCCTAGGCTGTCGTTGGTAGGTTTCTAACGGTGAAGTTGGTGAAGTTGGAATATATGCGGCAGGTTATGGCATCCGTTTGGCAGTCGGTCAGGGGGGTATAGGTTACCGAGATTCAACCGGGCTTGTTCTTGTTTGTCTTTTTTCATAGGATGGATATGGAATATGTTCTCGAAGGGGGTCCTTGGGCGTTTGTAAACATCACCATAGTGTGTCGGCAACTCCGAATGCGGGCCTTGCCCTAGAGGTGGTGCTGGATATGGTGGACATGTGGGTGCAACTGCACGATCTTCCAATGGGGTATACGTTAGATTTAGCTCTTGAGCAGGTTGGTAATTTCATTGGCACTTTCATCAAATGCGATGATAGGTTTGTGGGCGCCCCTTGGTTGACCTTTTATCGTATAAGGGTATCAATCCCTGTCAATAAGCCATTGAGACGATGTATGAAGTTAGTGAAGCGCGATAAAATGACTTGTTGGGTATCCTTTAGGTACGAGAGACTACACACTTTCTGTTTCTTTTGTGGCCTACTAGGACACTTGTATAAGTTATGCATCAAAGTACGGGAAGCCGTGATGCCGGTGGAGCAGTATCTGTATGGTCCGGATTTCCGAGAAAAGAGTAAGGACCGTAGCGGAGTACATGACTCCCGATTTCTCGATGCACAACTCAATTCGTGTGCCAGATTTAGAGAATGTCAATTTTCATATCCACCCGGCGATGTTGAATTTGGTGCAAAATAGCCTGTTTAGAGGTTCGCCTTCGGAGGATCCGCATGCGCATATTTCGAGATTCACAAAAGCATGTGGCATGTTTCGGCAAGAAGGTGTGCCGGATGAGATTGTTCGATTGAAGCTATTTCCGTTTTCGGTGATCGGTGAAGCATTAAGATGGCTAGATTCCCAAGATGACCATCATTTTAGCCTTTTAGGTCATGGGCACAATTGCACAAGGAATTCATGAACGAATTCTTCCCATTGACCAAGACCATGAAGATACGCAAACAAGTGCAAGAGTTCAAGCAAGGAACTCTAGAAAGTCTTGGTAAAGCTTGGAGGAGGCCAGGTTCAAGTCATTAAGAAGGCAATGTCCCCTGGATTTACTTCATCCGTGGGATGTGATAAGCTCTTTTTATGGAGGCTTTACGGATGAATGGAAGATGCTATTAGATTCCTCATCCAATGGTGCATTTGTCTCATCTTCACCGGCGGATGCCGAGGCACTTATAGAAAATGATCTCATCCAACACTTCTTTTTGGTACAATAAGAGAGATTCCAAGTCCGAAATGTAAGAAGTGAAAGAGAGTATAGCCCACGATGCCAAGGTAGAAGCAATGACACATGAAATCAAGAAACTTCAAGCCAAGATAGAGAAGCTTGGAGCTAAGTCTCAATCGTGCATGGCATTAACTCTTTATTGCAATATATGTGGAGGGCCGCATGACACGGACATTTGTAAATCCTCCATTAGTGTTGAAGAAGTAGAAGCCGTGGGATTTCAACAAGCCCCACAAGCAAGTGGATGGGGAGGAGAAAATTCTAATTGGAAGCAAGGTAGCGGATGATAGCAAGCAAACTATCAAGGGAGACTTCAAATGAATCAAGGTGGCAAAACCACCTATGGATCGGGAGGAGAAAGAGGCTGAATTGCTTATGGCCCACATTTTGGTCAAGGATTTAACAATCTTCCCTACCGACCACCCAATGTGTCCCAAGAAATAAGGCAAGAAATCGCGGCGGTAAAGCAAGACTATGCTATGTCTATGAAGAATATCGAAGCACAAATGGCTCAAATGTTCCGTATGATGTCGGAAAGGCCATGGGGGCTTTACCAAGCACAACGACGGTAAGCAAGGCAACTCTCGTGACTCTGTGCGGCTGTATCTTCTTGTTTATGTAGATGATATTCTGGTGATGGGGTCTAATTTAGCTCAGGTGTCTGCGCGTGTGGATAAGATGGCTACTGAGTTCAAGATTCAGGACATGGGTGCTCTCTCGTTCTTTTTGGGTATTGAAACCATTCCTTAGAATGGCAGTTTACTTCTGTCCCAGCAGCGCTACATGAACGACATCTTAAAGCGTGTCGAGATGGTCGAGTGTAAGGCTCTTGTTACTCTGGTTTCCTTGTCGCGGGTCACTAATGATGGTGCAAATGTTCCCTATGTTGATCCTACGCGTTACCATAGTTTGGCCGGTGCCTTGCAGTATCTAACTGTAACCAGGCATGACTTATCCTTTGCGGTCATCAAGTTCTGTCAGTACATGCATGCTCCCACTACGGGTCACTAGTCTCTGCTTAAGCGTGTGCTCCGGTATGTAAAAGGTACACTTCATTTTGGTCTTCATGTGTGTAAGTCCTCTTCGGTTGATATTCATGCGTTTTCCGATTCGGATTGGGTTGGTGATCCGAGTGACCGGAGATCTACGAGCGGCTTCGCGGTATTTTCTGGTCGCAATTTGGTGTCTTGGACTTGTAGGAAACAGCGCATGGTGGCGCGTTGCTCCACCGAGGCCGAGTACAAGGCTCTTGCTGATGTCTCTGCAGAGGTGACTTGGTTGGTCTCGCTGCTGACGGGGCTTGGCTTGCGTCCGTCATCTCCACCGACTCTCTGGTGTGATAATTTGGGTGCCACTTACTTGTGTGCTAATCCAGAAGTTTCATGCCCGCACCAAGCATGTGGAGATTGATTACTATTTTGTTCATGACAAAGTGGCAAAGAAGGAGTTGCATATGCATTTTATCTCTACGAAAGACCAGTTTACAGACGTCTTCACTAAGGCTCTCCCAGGTCCTTGTTTTTTCTTTTTGCGTGACAAGCTCAATATTCTTTCTCATTTTCCTTGTGCTGAAGGGAGAGTGTTAGGAATCTATTATGTATTGACTAGTTATATTGTATTAGGACTCTTATTGTTTGTGTTTATTATCGCTGTACACTCTGAACCTATTCTATCCTGAGATACTGTACTATTCCTCATCATGTATACGGAGTATATATTGTTCATAGTAAAGGTCATGGTTAGTACATGATTTGTCCCTTTTGTTTAAATTTTATTATTATTATATTTTTTTTTAAAAAAAAATCTTTAATGTATTGACTTTTGGTGTGATTAAAGAATTGTAATATGACAAAAATTTCAGCTTTTACTTTCTACTGTTTTTTTTTTTTTTTTTTTTTTTTTTTTTTAGTCTTTATGTGAAAGATGGTTGGATAAGTGGGTCACGAGTTAATCATTATATCCTTTTTACTAATATGATTTGGTCTTCTATATTAGTGGCACGCACACCTAGGACTACGAGTCTAGAAGGATTGAAGAATTGAAGGAAGTCTCCCATCTCTCATTACTAATGATTATTAAATATATAAGTCTTTAAGGGTCAAAATAATTCCATTTGCAGATGCAAATTATAAGTTGGATTTTTAATGGAAGCGATGTCTTGATATTTTTAGTTTGAACAAATTACTTATAAGAAATTTAAGTTTATTTATTTTTTTGTGATCATTTGTCGGCTACGAGCACAAGGTAAGGTTTACTCCGTGCACACCCTCAGATAGTGACAATAAGAATCGTCGCTCATTCAAAAATAATTACACCGAAAATTCAAAAGTTTCATTAGTTTTACTTTAGAGTTTTGATGAAAAAAATAAATCGCGATATATTAATATTGATAGGAAATATACTCCGGGCGTATAGTTGTATACCTACTTGGTTCGTATTCCTTAGGGCGCACAGATTTATTCTCGATCCAAACCGACCATGCATGCATGTTATGTGATCTGACCCGACCCGAAATGAGGGACGGTTACGCAATTAATTATGTGGGCTATAACGAAACCTGACTCGGGTTCGGTTCCGACTTGGGGACCATCACAATATCCCGAGGGGATGGCCCTTCACATCGGCGAATAGGAATCGCGAAAAGACACTATCACTGACTACATCATCTTACGTTTGTCGATCATATTAGAGCAATCTACACGGCCTCCGATCCTACCAAATGCATGTGAAACACGTGACAAGCATGTCGGGATCATGTCATGTGCCCCCTCTTGACCCTTATAAATAGCGCATTCATTACTTGAAGAAGGGGACTTTGGATATTTTCACCTACCTCACATTCGCTCGGGAGCATATGACCCGCTGTCTATTATTCCCGAGCCCGTCCACTTACGTAACCTTAACCATATTTTCTAATATCTTTACCAACATCAAATATGTAATTCGTATTTCAATAATTTAAAGATCCATCTAAAGTATTTGTAAGATCCACAATAAAAGTAATTTCATACTATTTTTAATAAGAAACCAACCACAAAGTTATGTGTGAGACTGTCTAATCGTGAGACGGGTCGGTCAGGTCAAGATGAAAATGTAATATTTATACCCACAAATGTAATAAAAATTAGGAATGAAGTGTTTAGGCAAAAACTTGTGTAAGATCGTCTCACGGGTCTCAATCCTCGAGATGGGTCGGATATTTGATTAATGAGGTCAAAGATCCTACCTATTAATAAAAAATTTGACTTATTAATCAAAGATATGATCCAAGTGTTTATTACTTATATATAGTCAATGAAAAATGAGCCATCTTTTTCAGAAAATGACTTTTTTTTTTTTTTGAGGAAGTCATTTTCCATTCTCTCATTTGGCCACTCCGCCTCCATCAACACCAGAGAAGCAAAAAATCCACCAACACTAACTGACTTTTTTTTCTCAGATCTAGAACTCTATAGTGATTTTCAGGCGGTAAGGACGAAAACCCACAGTCGAAGAAAGTCTCCTCGCATGGGAAACCAGTTTGAACATAAGTTGTGATGTATACATTCTGCATTATATTATTTATATCAATCATTATTGTGTGGACCATATTTTGTATATGTAAAATAATGTACATTCAATTCAAAAATAATGTACATTCAATTCAAAAATAATGTACTTAACGGGATGTACATTATTTTTGTATTAAGTATACATTATATTGTATAATATACACTCAGTACAAAAATAATGTACATTTAGTATATTAAAAATGTGTTGTTTATTATGGTCCACACAATAATTTGCCTATTTATATACCGCTGCCGACTTCATGAATGCGCCATTTAATTATTCCGTAATAAACTTACCTAATAATGCAGCACGTCAAATTGACAAATTGATTGAGTTTTAAACTCTAATTTATCATAAGTTTAAATTAATTTATCTGCACACACACACACACACACACACACACACACACATATATATATATATATATATATATATATATATATATATATTTAGATGTAGAAAAAAATTCTATAATACTAAATAGTAAAAATAATAATTACTATAAATAGAAAAGACGCTGATATTTGATATTTCTACAAATATAATAATAGTTTTACCCCTTTCAAAAAATAATAATAGTTTTACTTCTTCTATTTACAAAAATATTATTGTTCTTTTTATTTATAATAACTGACGACATTCTTATCATTCAATATTGTAAAATATTTTTATATTTATAAATTTAAACGCAGTAAATCTAGCTTTAAAATTAATAAATACTGTTTGGGAGTTTGATAAATACTGCAAGGAGAATGGTATGAAGAAGATGGAAGCAACTCAAAGTAGCAACAACAAACCGCCTTTAATGCTAGATTTATCACCCAAAAAAAAAAAAAAAAAAAAAAAAAAAAAAAAAAAAAAAACAACAAACAAAAACAAAAACAAAAGCAAACAAACAAACGGTCTTTAATGTCCGCTCCTGCTTTGCCCATGATGGTTATAAATGGATCTTATGATCTTATCTATCTTCCCCACCTGCCAACTGCAAACTATTCTTTAATGGGCAATGGCCAATGGCCAATGGGCATATATAATAAGACGAGTTTAAAACCAATATATAGGGCACACTCTGTGGTTAATGGTTATAACTCCTTTCTAAGAGAGAATTAATTAAAAACCAATTAGACTATTAGAGTAATTTATTTGGAAAGATTTAACAAATTTGTAGCAATTAGAGAAAAAATAATGTGATGACGACATTCTATGTAAATAACTCAAATTTTAAAGTGCAATTAGTAACACTATGAAGTGCATTTCTTAATATTATAGAGTGCAATTAAACAAAATTATAGAGTGCATATGTTATAAATCTTGAAAACTAAACCAAAAGACTAAACCCAAGATAAATTATATTGATGAAAAAATGTAATTCATGTGTTCTCATTTTTGAAGTAAAATTGTTTGAGAGATCTAAAGAGTGTAGTTTCACTTATGGATAAGGCTTTGAATAGGGTGAACTACGAATTGTAATAACTGAAGAGTAGGTAATAATATGCATAATCTAACATGAAAGACACTAATTCACCTAAAGGCACTAAATCATGCATAATAAGATATAATTCAGACCTAAAAGGCTCTAAATTTTTCTTAATGAACATGCTTTTCTACAGGCATAATTATAACAGTCAAATAATTATTGCAGTAAAGAGATAAATAACATGCTCATATTATGCATATTACTCACAAATACTGCACAATTCAATTGCAACACTTAATACAATTTAAACTCAAAAACATTATTAAATTAAAATTCAACTGAAAAAATTAAAACTGAATAATTATTCAAAGTTGAATAATAATTTAATAATAGACTTAATAAAAAAAATTTCAATTCGATAATTTGATTAGAAGAAGTCCAAATATGATGAAGATATTAAACTGAATGAATTGATGTAGTCCAAATATCAATTCAGGTTTGGCCCAAAACCATAACAAGCCCATATTATTATTTTTGTTTATAATAATGACCCTAGGTCTGGCCCAAATGGCCAGACCCGGCCCATTACATATCATCATCCATCTTCTTCATTGAGCTGACATCAGCGCATCCCAGCAACAGGAGACCGGCGACGAACAGCAGCCAAAGGACGCCGGAAGGAGAGTAGACAGTAGCACCGTCGCTGGGAAACCCAGCGCCGCCTCCGCCTGGCCGCCACCCAACGCCAACGTCGTTCGCCCGTCAATGTCGCGAACCAGTCCGGCTGAAGGTCCACTGCGTCGCCGTCCAACCGTGTAACAACCCGAAATTTCATTTTATAAATCCGGTATTAAGAAATTCCAAAATAGCCTTTTTCACTCCATTAATTTTTTTTTTTTTGTGAACAATCGGTGTTTGAATAAAATATTTTCGTCACATTTTAAATTAATTCGACACCAAAAATGGATTCTATTCGAAAATTCCTAAGTTTTCGGGTACTTCGCGTACCAAGATTTAAATCGAGAAATTTATCTGAGTGAGACCGGGAGAATTCGAAAAGATTTTAACCAAGTGTTCATCCAAATAGCTTTTTGAGAAAATTCATTTCCAACCCCAAAGTATTTAAAATTTCACATTTCTAGCCTTGGTCCATGTACAAGGTGAAGCATTCCACTCCAAAGGACTTTGCTGAGAAACACTTTGTATGCAAGCTTTTACCTTTTTGCCCTCAACCAATCATTGGCCTTTTACCTAGAGTTTTGGACCCTATATAAACTCCACTATTCCATCTTGATTCCCTGATCTCATTCTTTGCCTCTCCACACACTTTGTCTGCCAAGAGGAAGGGAGAAAACAACATCACAGTAAGCTCATTTCCTTTTTCAATCCTAGCCTCTATTTATCTTCTAGTTCCTTTTAATCTTTGAGGTTTTAGGCTAAG